GATGATCTGTCCAAAAGCAAAAACCTTAATTAGGGCATCCTCATTAAAGCAGCCATCATAAGCTGATCGGCCTAGACGATACTTGTATCGGCTAGGACGATAGGCTCAATTCAGAAAGAATCAACCGCCATGATCAAATTAGGTATTCTTTATTTTAGGCAATTAGCCAGGATGATATACAAATCGTCCAGGATGATCTAACTCAATTATACCTAAATTGATCTGGTATATTTGGAAAGCATTAATGGTTGATTTATACGATCACATCGTCCGGGACGATCGTAGGACCGATTGGGATGATGGCCTGGATGATTTACATCGGCCAGATCTATTTCGGGCGATGATCAGGATGATTGAAATTGATTTTAAACTAATTGTCCGGGACGATCGTGATATCGTCCAGGACGATGTAACCAATTTTATTCTGATCATCCCAAATCGTCCCGGGCTGATGTGCTTATTTTGTACTGATCGGCCAGGATAATATGTCTATCGTCCTTGATGATAAAGTCGGCAACTTGCATTAATGAGTTCATTTTGAGATCTTCTATTTAAGTTTTAGCAAGGCACTTTGTAAGTGTCTTTGGCATCCATTATAGCTTCGTTCTTTTGGGAGGAACTTGAAGAGAGAGCTTGAAAGGGAGTGAGGAATGGGTGAAGTCTGAGAGGGAGAAGATCCTGTAAGGGGGGACTCAAGGGAGTGTGGAGGGGGATTCCACACGATTGCTCCGACAGACTTGCACCTTAATACCGTCGGATTCAAGGCTTTTCTTGAGGGAAGTTCACCAAAGAAGAAGATCTTTTTGTTGTCAAAGGACCCGGTGACTCCGCCGCACCGGGGAAGGTGAAAGTGATTTTGTAAGGGCTTCTCCGCCTAACTGTGGGGGCTAAAAGAGAGACACTTAGTTTAGTGCAATACTTGGAGGGTGCCTCCAAGTAGTGGACGTAGGTCAAGGTTTGACCGAACCACTATAAATATGGTGTGTTCTTTCCTTTATTACTTCCGCATTTAATTTCCGCATTTGGTTTTCTTTGTGTTGATATTGGTTTTGATTTGTGTTTTGATTTAAAGATTCTTTTTTACCAATTCACCTCTCTCTCTTTATTAGCTTTGAGCCAGTTCATAGGGCCTAACATCCCTAACAAACTTTTAAAATCTCTTCTTAAGCCCAACTAAATCAAATTGATGGTGGCGTTATGTCCCCCATGAACCAATGCACCTACCCTAATTAACCCAGCTCTTGGGTTAACTTATTAGAAATTAAACTAGACCAAAGTGGGCAAAATCACTATGGGTTGAGCCATTTCCCAACCTATACCTCGCCATATCCAACTAACACTTCCATTAGGAGACCCTACCTCCAACACACCTACCCTAGTCAACCCAACCCTTGGGTTGACTTGGGTCAACCTCTAGGCTAATCCAAAGTGGACAAAACCACTTTGACATGAGTCATTTTCCACCACAAACCATATCTGACCCAATTGAAACTTGCATTGGGTGGCCCTTAACATAATGCATTTCTCACCTCAATCCCATTGCCTTACTCATCCCATCTTGCACCAAAATGGACCCAAACTATATAAGTTTGGGTCAACTTGAGCATCCATATTGATCTAGGCTCCCTTATAGCCCATTAGCCTTTCAATCGAGCTCGCCATATCCCTAGTAGCCTTTCCACCTCTAGTTTTCCCCTCCACCTTGGGCCTCATCTAAAGCATTTCAAGACCTAAGTTTGTTGGGCTTGAGCTTATGAGACCTTGGGAAGATTTCCCCTTCTAGTTGACAAGCATCACATTATTCCCCTGATCAATCCCAGCCGTTCATCACCATGGCCGAAGCTTGAATAGGGCACTTCCCTCCATAATGCCTCATTCAGTCCATGCCTTTCAAAATCATCCTCTAGAGCTCTTTGAGCAATCCCAAAGTATTCTCTACCTTCCTAGTTGTTTCTAGCCATCATCTCAAGTAAACTTTAGCAAATAGTCTCCACCTTCCTCTTGAACTCCTACCTCCAGCGATCCTTTAGCTTTGGTGTACGAAGGAAAAGTCTTCGCCTTCATCCCCTTAAGCTTCCTCATAAAAAAACCTATTTATTGGGGCTTTCTACATGATGAGATCCTCTTCCCGAGCTCCTAGTTAGGTAGTGTCAGTCAAGTATGAAACAAATTGTCAATCTATTAGAATAAGATCATTGGATTGATGGTTTGTAATGTCTTAATCCTTCCCATGACGTTTGGTTGAGATTCACTAGTGGGATCTCTCAGATCATTCTAGAAAAGCTCTATGATTTCAAGCACCTACTGGACGATGAAGAGATAATTCTAGCTGTTGATCAGATTAAATCTTGTGGTTCCAAAGCCATAATAGTCATAGTTAGATGATCAATTATTTGATAGCTACAACCATTTTCATGTTTATATAGTTAGCACCAATGATTGGCTGTCAAATTAAAGTGTGCCCGTATTTAAAAGGGGCACTAACAATGTAATTCTGGTTCAAATAAATCCAAAAATAATGGGAAACTTCAATATCTCAGTCCACTTAACCAAATTAGGAGCTCTTAGGCTCATTAGAAAGATCTCAAAGAGATCTTCAAAAGCCCTATAATCTCAAGTTGTGATTATTTATGAAACTTAATTAATTATAGTAACTATCATAGGGATATTTTAGGCTATTCTTGTAAAATTGAACTCACCACAACTTGAGACTTTGGATAATTTGATTTGGGCATGTCTTTGATATGTCAAAATTTTCTTTCCCCTATTTGAATTATCTAAGGGCATGTTTGACTCAATTTAAGCTTAGGGGTCATGGTTTGAACCTTAAGTTTAAACTGGCTTTATGATCTATCAAATGGGAATTAGGATTTGAGCTTTTGTGTGTTAATTTTTCTTAGGATAGGGAGTTTAGAGCCACTAGTTTATGATCTATCTAATGGGAATTAGGATTTGAGCTTTTATTTTTTAGGATCTTATAGGAGGAAAGTGCATGTTATGTAGTAGTTTTAGGATCTAATTTATATTTTTAGAGTCATTTCTTCCTTTGAATTTTTATACAGTTATGACTAATTTTTCTTATTCTATTTTGTAGCTTTGTTTGTAGCCATGCACTATTATTGTATATGCACCTTGATGATGTATGAAAAAAGGATTTTTGTGGATGAGTTTCTTTTTAGTTCTTTGAATTTTATTAGCAACTATATCCTTATTGTTGTAAGTTTAAAACTTTTTATGAAGATTCTAAAACTTTTTCCAAAACTTAGATCTAGGGTTCACTGGTTGCAAGCCACATGAAAAACTAAAGAATGATTTGTGATAACTTATATATGAATATTTTTCACTTGTGAAAATAAAATAGATTTTCATATACATTCATTATGTTTGTTGTTATACAGGGTGTGACAAAATGGTATCAGAGCAATACACCAGCTAGAAGATGGGAGCTCCACCTTTAGAATTCTATCTATATAGCGAATAATTATGTGCTAATTAAACAGATAATGATATCAGTTATTTAAGTGGGAGAGATTATAAAACTTCTTAAGAAAATAAGGTTAAACTCTTAAACATCAAAGAATCTTTTAGTATAACTATTGGAATGTTATTAGAAACTCCAAAGTGTGTGCTCATATAGGAGAACTCCTAGGATGGGTGATCACCTAGAAAGTTACACAAAAGGAAAAAACTTTGAGGACATTCAGCTTAAACGAGCAATATCTATGGTTAAGAGTTTGGTCTACTGTAAAAAATGTGCATTATATATGAATAGGGAGAACATTCAACTTAAAGAAAAATTAAATTAAAAGTCTATTTCCACATACTCTCTCTCTCTCTCTCTCTCTCTCTCTCTAGAGAGAGAGGGAGAGAGAGAGAGAGAGAGTTTCATTAGAGCTTTAATTTATATTTTTTCTATTTATTATACTTTAATGAAGGTCCAAAAGATTATATAGTTATAAGCATTAGCTAACTAAAGTTTTTTTTTTTTTTTTTTGCAGATAATGATGTTAGAGCTACATGTGACTAATTTTGGTTATCATATGCATAATGAACCACATGAAAAACTAAAGAGTGATATAAAGGCAAATGGTGAACATAAACCATCAATTGAGTAGTGGATGATTATGATTCCATAAAGTGATGATGATCTATAACATATACACTATAATGTTATAGGGATTCTGTAAGGTGTGGACATTACTTTTATTTGAAATAACCATATGTCTTTTCTTGAGTGGCTAAAAGAGGTGATGATAATTATTATAAAATCTAGGAAAAAGTAGGATATTATGAAATTCATGCAATGAATTCTATAAGGAGACCAAATACTATGGGCAAATTTGATGGGGTTTGATCTTATCAATGGCTTTTAAATATTATAGTCAAAATGGCCCTGTGATGAGATATGAGTGATCTACCTCAAAAATTTTGGAAGGTCTACTCCTTTTCAATCGTTAAGGGAATAGAATATGTCGACATTCCACTAAATAGGTCAACACTCCTCTATGAAGGACTAATGTCGAGAGCCTCTACCATAGTATGGTTCCAAGGTGATTTGTATAGGGGTAAAAAAATGCCCGAAGGTAATCACCATATATATGAGTTGACCTGACTAGCAGTGATTGTGGAAGGGTTATCTTTGGTATGAATAAATATTAATAATCATAATGTTTTTTTTTTCATTTTGCTTATAAATATATAATAACTTAATTGCAAAATTATTTATATTTTAGTAAGAAATGCAAATTTTGAAATAATTTATTGTTTTCGCGTGTAGATTTTTCAAATCTATAAAATTGTATTTGTCTCAATTGAGACCTAACTAAAGATGAAAGAAAAAAAAAATATATATCAAAACTGAGTGTGTTGCCAGCAGAACGTGCACTTTTCTCGTACTGCAAATAAACAATTTTGAAGGAGCAAAATACAAAAAAGGGAAAGGTCTGCAAGCGCATGCGATAAAGCGTCATATTCCACAAATACTTATTTACCGAAGGGCTTTCTTACAAGATTTGCCATCACTGAAATGGTGGATAAGTCCTCCCTCATTAATGCTTTCCTTTCCTTGCAACTGAATCGTTCCCATTTCTCGCTTTGCTGGGTCAAATTAGCCCGCCGCATAACTCTCTAAGGAGACAGAAGGACCTATTGCCGGGGTATTCTTTCCGACACCTGCGGTCTCACTCCGATCTGTCACTGAAATCCTCGTTTTTACTGTTTTTCACATGTTCTTTTTCAAACTTACAGCCTGAGAGCTCCGAAGAGAACAATCATGGCTGTTTTGTGTTTGTTAACCTTGCTAGTTGATGTCCGAGAACTCTTTTCGATGTGTTTTTTGGTTTTGCCTGCAATACAGTTAGTGGGTAACTGTATTTCTTGGTTGATTTATCTGGAACCCTACGCTCCCAATCTCTGTTTCTTGATAACTTTCAAAAAGATTGCTGCTTAGGGTCAGAAAAAAATCGGTTTTTGATTTGTTTTATGTGCTCTTTTTTGTGGTTAATTGGATAGGATCTCTTGTGTGAGTTTAGGGTTTGCTTCTGATTCCCTCAATTTGTTTTCTTGATTAGGGCGGATGTGTTGAGGTTGTCGTTGCCCAATAGTGCGAGCGATGGCCGGGATAGATGACAGTGTCTCCATTTTCGCAGATTGGGCAGCTTCCAATCCCAGTCCGAGAACATTTATATCAAAATTTTTCAATGAAGATACTTGCTCAAGACCATTTCCTGACCTAGGAGATAATACACATTTTGGCTTTGCGGAGCCTGAGAATCACAAATCAGCAATGGTTAACAATGAAGAAGTGGAAAAACCTGCTTTGGTTCACTCCAGTGACATCTTCTTGGAACCAGTTCAGTTTAATGTTTCCAAATCAAGCTCAAAAGGGGCTTTAAGTGAGAGGATGGCAGCTAGGGCTGGTTTTAGTACATTAACGGTCAATACTAGCAGAAATGGAACAGAGAGTGTGATTTATTCACCTTCAAATAAGCGTTGTTCGTATGTGTTGCTTTCACCAGGTGTCAGTCCGACGACATTGTTGGAATCTCCAGTTTTCCTTTCAAATGCCATGGTAAGAATGTTTTTAATGTCTATGAATTCATTTAAATTACGAAGAATTTGGCTGATTATTGAGTATAATCAATTGATGCTGAAGTTGCATCTGAAATGCTTTCTCTCTCTCTCACAAAAAAAAAAGAAAAGACAGTTTGGGTTTTTCTTTCATCATTAGTGATCACGGTTGCTTAGCCAAGTTAGATTCAGAGTGTTAATACAGTATTTTTTTGTAGAAAATAATTTTTTGAAAAGGCTTCACTGATGCATGAAAGCATCTCTTCAGAAAATTGTCTATCCAATTATTGTTTTATTAGGAGAATGATAGTTGTACTGCAATAATTACTAGAACTATGTTCAATATTCTGTGGTCCTTTCAATTATTTGTGCCGTTTCTATTTGACTTCTTCGAGCAAGCAGTATCACATACATTTGGTGTGCTTATACTTGCAGGCGCAACCATCGCCGACCACAGGGAAATTTCCATTTGCACGTGCCGAGGACAGTAACATGTTTTCAACCTTAATCTCAGAAGAAACTGACAAAACTAATGTTCAACTGATTGAAGATGTTCATGCTGATGCATTTACCTTCCCTCGCCTGGGTTCAAGTTTTCCTTTTTTATCGCCTTCGGAAAACAAAGTAATGCACTTTAGATACTTGACAATTTCTTTTTTCGTAGTTCTTAACTTTCTCTTTGAAATTTCAATGAACGCATCATTCTGCAACTATGTTGTGCAGTAATTTGAATTTATTTGTCATTTAATGCGCTCCCTTAGTTCATTGGATTTGAATATGCCTTTTCTGATGTCTGATTAACGCGAAAGAAATGAGCTCTTATTTCTAACATCATATGTATGTTAAGTCATGTTGATATCTAGTTGGTTAAAGGCCTCTTACACTGTGTAAGGCACATAGATCCTCTCTGTAAAGTATATTTTTTGCATTATCATCAATGCATATGATCATCTATCTGTATTGTTGAATGGCTTAAATATGGTTATCGGTTTCCCCCATTCATACTTTTTCATACTTTTGGTTGATTTCTTTGTACTTTCAATAAAAATAGTGATTGCGGTTTGTTAGATTATGCATAAAAGATTTTCACAACTATGTATGCTAGGTGCATTAGTTCAAGTCTTTCAAACTAATAAATTTCAAGATGGTATATTTCATAAGCATGGCATATTGAGACAAAGTAGTTTTGTATAGTTTAAAGGTTTCATTTTGTTGAATGAATTCCAGGCTCAGTAGTATCTTTTTCTTGTTGCAGCTATCAGTTTTGAGGTGCCGTTTGGTCTAAAGCAGAGAACCATAAGCCTTTTATTCTACCAAAACAACTAAAATACCGTGGATAAGCTATTCCCACTTTGGTGGTTTATAACCATTTTTTACTTGATTATGAACTTTATCCCACCAGACTGTTAGAATAGAGTTTATTTCCGAAAATCATTCTCGTCCTTCTAGAGATGTAAAATTTTATACTTGCTCCATTTACTTGTGTATACATGATGTTTAAGGATAAATCCAATTGCTGCGTATTTATTTTGTATTATTAACTTTTAGATAGTAGACCTGATTAGAGAATGAAATAGTGAATACAAAGAAATTGTTCACCAATCTGCAGAAGCTTTGCCCACCAACTTATGATAAGTGGGAAAACAATTTTGTGATGCTGTTGTAACCAAAATTTGGTCAAAATTGGTTTTAAAATCCTTGGATCTACTTTGAAATGAGTGTAATATGTAGATAATCAATCAACTCTTTTATTGTATTTGTTTCAAAGCAAAGTTTAGAGGTTTAAAATTGATCTTGATCAAAATTTGATTAAGATATTTGACCTAATTTTCTTCTGATAAGTGTATTGTGAGTTTTATTAGCAGGGTGTTCATTACAACAACAATAACAACATCAAGCCTTTGTCCCATTACGTGGGGTTGGCTATATAAATTCTTTTTCATCATTGTGTCCTGTTAAAAATCAAATTCTCATTTGAATCTAATAAAGAAAGATCATTTCTAATATTTTCTAACCAAGTCTTTTATTCCAGGGTGTTCATGGAGGTAAAAAAATTATAGTTATTTGGCTAAAGTTTCCCTGGAAATATAAACCTGTATATTTTGCTATGTGCTATTGTTAAAAGGTTTCTTGCGTAGACAACTGATCAAAATAATAAATATTACATCGTTATAAAAAAACGCCTGAACGATGTAATAATCAGACCTTATTTGTGTTTTATTCACCGCTTAGATGATTTAAGGATCCCAGTTTAAATCAAGGGCAAGAACAACAAGTGAAGACCATTGGCTGCAGTTAACTCTTTTCATATATGCATCTCAGTGTTTTGAGAAACATCAATGATGAAGATAAACACAGCGCTGAATTCTATTAGGTTTATTTTCAAGTTTACCTATATAATCATTTTTAATGACTTCATAAATATGATAGATCTAGAAGAACTAATGTTTCAGTTTTTGAGCAATTTATGATATCTAAAAGAACTAATCTCTAGGAAATAATTCCTTTAAGTGATCCAGTCCCTTGCGTGCTGGGAGCATGAAATAGGCTTCTCTAGCCATTAAGATTAAATATTTCACTTTTTAAACTCATTGACTAATGTTGGGATACCAGACCTATTGTGTAAGTTCGCTAACACTTAGTATATTTCTTTGGTTTTTTCCAGTTTGCTTTATCCATTGAAGAAGAGCGGACCTTAGTAAACATGGGCTCTTCTCTTCAACCAGATCTGAAGCAACCAGTTGGCTTCACAGAGGCATCTGAAGCAAAAGAGATTGCTGAAGATGTGAAAGCTGATTCCTTCCTGGCTAATGAAAGTTCTCCTCCTGATGACAATCAGAATGTAGAAACAGATCCAAAAGGTGGAGAGTTCTCATCCATGGCTTCCAGTGCTGCAGAGGAAGATGGATATAACTGGAGGAAGTATGGGCAGAAGCATGTTAAGGGTAGCGAGTTCCCTCGTAGCTATTATAAGTGCACTTTCGTAAATTGTCCTGTAAAGAAGAAGGTCGAAAGATCTCTCGAGGGGCATGTCACTGAAATAGTTTACAGGGGTGCTCACAATCACCCCAAGCCTCCTTCTAACCGCAGGTCATCAACATCATCTTCTCAATCATTCAGTGATACACAAATGGACAATTCAGATTATCATGTCATTAATGCAAATTTTGATGGAAAGCCCACATTGGTAAACGCACAAAATGGAAATGGAGGATCAGAATGGAGGGGGGATGGCATAGAAGCAGTCTCTTCAACTTCTATTGCTGAATTTGCGACTTCTAATTCCATGCAGACAATAAGCGGCTCTCGATATGATGGTTCGGAGGCCTTAAACTTGCCATCAGCAATGTCTAATGATGAAGAGGAGGATGATGGAGCAACTCATGGCAGTTTCTCAATGGGGTGTGATGCTGAAGGGGAGGAAATGGATTCAAAAAGAAGGTGGTTTGTTTTTTTAAGACAAAATTGTTATAGGTCATAAAATCAAAATTTATTGTTTGTTGGGTTTGCCTGTCTTCAGGAAACTGGATTTGTGTACTATTGACATGAGCGCTGCTTCAAGAGCCATGCGAGAACCTCGTGTTGTGGTTCAGACGACTAGCGAGGTTGATATCCTCGATGATGGCTATCGATGGCGCAAATATGGGCAAAAGGTTGTCAAAGGAAATCCAAATCCAAGGTATTTTTACCGGTCAAGCAAATTATTCTTCAACTAGGAATGTGCAATGCATAAGTTTTACATCAATTTTTTATTTTTAACAAAATGTTGAAAACAAATTCATACACGAATGATTTGTTGATGATGTTAATTGTAGTTGTTTTGAATGTGCTCCTACTGTCTTTTTAATGCAAATCACAACTTATGATATTTCCTTGCATAAAAAACTTCATTAATTTCCTAAAGTTATTGTTTTTCCAAGCCTAAGATCATTACCAGCAGTAACAACCTTCACTATTTGAGATTTTCTTTCATTCATTGTTGTGAGTTTTCTCATCTTTAGTCAAATTAGGTTTTGAATTTGAAATGGAGATTTATATGTATACCATTGAATTTTTATATATTAGTAATATTTTTTTATTTCATTTAGAGATTAAAGTGTCATATAAATAAATATAAATACATAGCAATATGTATGTAAATTCACCTAGTAGATCCCTTCTAGATTTGCCCTTTAGTATTGACAAATACAATGAGAAGTTTATAAACAAAAGTTGAAACATTAAATCTTGTTCTACAATCCAGGAGCTATTACAAGTGCACGAACCCGGGATGCACGGTCCGGAAGCATGTAGAGAGAGCATCACATGATCTAAAATCTGTTATCACAACATACGAAGGGAAGCACAATCATGATGTTCCCACTGCAAAAACCAGCAACCATCAAAGCACGGGTTTGTCGAATTCTACCGCAACTGGGATACATCCGACCCATAGCCTGCACCGCAAGGCTGAACCAATTCAAGAAATCCTGATGAGGTTTGAAAACCATGCTCCAGTTGATCCCTTTGCATTGCCTAGTAGAGATCCACAATTTGGTACAGCAGCAGGATTTGCTTTTGGTTTTGGTCACCAGGGTTTGACCAGCCTAGGGATTGGAAGTTTGGGTCCAATGGGGCCATTGAGGATGCCAGCTTTTGCTCCAGTTCAGTCCTATTTGGAACATCAGAGGAAGGTTGATGATGGAGGGTTTATCATACCAAAAGGGGAGCCAAAAGAAGAACCAATATTGGAGTCTGATCTGCCATCAATTGCCAATGCTCCTAAAGGATATTATCAGTTTGCAAACAGATTATCTCTTGGACCTTACCTATGAATCAGATAGAGAATGCTAGTTCTTTCTGTTGCAATGTATACATCAAGTTATTTCTGATAAATTTAGCATAACATTTTTATATAGGTAGAAAGAAGTTTGTGTTAGGAAAAGGAATTATCTTGTTTGGTGAATGGAAGAACTTACCAAATGAAATTATACTAATGACAAATGTTGTGCATTTCATCAAAAACAAGTGTTGGAGGAAGAAAGTTTTAGCTGGTTAGCAGTTTCATCTCAGATGAATTATTTTCATTCTGCATATGATTGTCGTTCGTATACTCTTTTTTGCAAAGTAAAATGGCATTAATACATGATCTGCAACTCATGAATGCATTTATATTAACAAGCAGGCTTTAGATAACGTTGCAATAACATAAAAGCGAGCATTATAAAACTTGTAGAAAAGAATATCAGGACCTGTAATAAGATTAACAATCTGAATATTGTAGCCCTCAAGCACTATATATAGATACCTGACATATACATGGTTCCCTTAACAGCTTTTACTGTCATTCAAAACTAAAAAAAAAAAAAAACTCTGCACATATCACAAAAGAATATAAGGACTGGACGGCCCAACAAATATGGCTCCACCCCCCATCGAGAAGTGGAGTTTGGCCAAATTTAAATGAAATTCAGTGCCTTAAACATGTTGATGAAAAATTTATGATACAGTTTGCATTGTGAAAAGGGAAATATAATCATAATAGCCATTGAAGTCGGGCATTAATACCGCTAATAAAATTAATGCCACGAGAACCAAAATTGCTGAAGCAGAGCTGTTAGCTAGTTGGATACTCCATTCTTCAGATTAGACACGCTCAATGGATATTTGTTGTTATATCTTGATGTTCTTCTCTTTGTTGATAATAGTTCTTCCTGTGCCGGATTTCCTCTCTGCATACAAAGTAATACCAATAACGATTATTTATGGTTTTCCTCACTATATGTGGGATATTAATAATGTGGCAGAATTGCTTTTGCCATTTGGAATATGTAACAAAATTCCAAAGACAAAGAAAAGTTTGATTACAATCATTGTTATCAAAAGATGAGCTAGCTACGAAATAGACGCCTACTAGATGATGAAGCTTTCGAGAAAGATGCATTGAAGGAGGCCCAAAATTGCAGAGGTCCCTATACAAAATGGCCCCACTTCAACCCTGGTTAAATCGGAAAAGACAGTACTCTGGATGTAAAATAAAGAGAATAAAAAAAAGGTAACCACAGTGTCAAGAAATCATTGCGCAATCTGATTGCATATGTTTTGTGAAGTTTGACCATCATGGGCTCTTTCCAAAGTTTAGTTGAAATTTATGCGAATTATATAAATATATATTATAGATTACAATCCATTTTAGAAGAAAAGTGGCTATTTATTCTGCTACATCTTTCATTATCCATCAATAATTTTGGATGACCAAGATTTAAGCAGAGACATTCATAATGTTAAAAATAGCTAACAAGTTATCTTTTTTCCACAAATTCTATTCCAAATTTTTTTAGACATGGTGAAAGATGTGCAAGAATAAATGATTCTATTCATCTTAAAAGATAGTAATCTCTCTCTCTCTTTATATATATATATATATAAGATGTATTTCATAAAACTCTAACTAAGCTGATTATCCTTCATAGGTTCAAGTATAGCATAAGGGAGAAGTTATTGATAGTTATACTGTGTGCTGGAAATTTGGAATACAAAATGTTAATGCTTGCGAAAACTGAAAAGAGTAAAATGAACATATTAGACTGATTGTGGGAAAAAAATATTAAAGATAAAATTATGACAAAAAGATTTTGGTCGTTAGTTCATAAGATGCACAAAAAATGTGATTATGCAATTTCTAAAAGGGAAAGAAGATAAGAAGAAGATCAAAAGTAACACCATGTAAAGTGGCGTAAAAAGAGATGCCAACACATTCAACACTTGAGAATAAATGAAGATTTCATAAACTGGACCTAATAGTACAAATAAAGCTTAACTTATTATTATGATGATGATGGAATGTAGCTTCGCTTTTTCTTCTTTTGTAGTACGTATAAAAATTTGTTTAGACAATTAAAATTACAATCCCGTTATGTTGATACAAGGTTGCAGTAATAAAAATATGAAACATATTAGAATTGAAAAAAAATACTAAATACACGTGATAATATTCATATAAAAATGTATAATTTCAATCTCTCTAAAATACATGGCAATGTATAATTCCAATATCTCTAACAAAAGTATCTTCAGATGTTAAATAGGAAGAATATGTCAAGGAAGTATCTTCAGATGTTAAATAGGAAGAATATGTCAAGGAAGTATATGAGCTGTAAATCGAGATTATTAAAGACAAATTTCTAAGAAAATAATATTTCATACTTTTTTTTCCAAAAACCTGATCTCAGTAGGACAGTACTAGACATTATTAAGTTCAATCATCAATATAAATCATACGCAAAAGATCACCGAACTGAACAAAAAATGAAATATATTAAACATTGGATATCAAGGCCGTATTTCAGACCCGTCTAATATGAAGTGATCATGTAAGTTCCAGTCCTGTTACCTATATAACTAAGGTAATAAAGCAATTCTTTGTCTGGTATAAGAAATAGATCAGGCATATAACATGCCAACATAAGTAGCTGAACGACTACCAACCTGAGACAGCGTTCAATTGCATCATAATTAAGAAGACCAACAAGCCTGCGCTTTCCATAATTTATAGTCTCTCTGCAGCGTGCAACCACTGGCAACTGTTTGATGCCTTTGGCTTCCATGAGCTCCTTTGCAATGGTCAGATCTGTGTCTGGAAAGCAGGTTAAAATTCCGCGTTCGACACCTCGATGTTGAAACCCTCTTGTAAAGCATGATGAAATTTGACAGGTGTTGATCTGCATTGAATTTTCGGAATTAACATATGCTCTATGAGAACATGTTAAAAAATGATCGGGGAAGTGCCTTGTACACAACCGGCATTGGAGATCAGATTTTTATAAGAAAAGGTTCCACATAATTCTAGGAATGGGATATGATGCAGACATATGGTAGTGAAGCCAATAAAGATGCGCTCTTCAACATAAATCATGCAAGTCCTATAACAGCAATCAAAATAGCTATAAGAACGACTTGCAAGTGAATCATAAATGCAGGGAAAGGTAAATAAATATAGGCTACTACAAATGCCATGCCACAAAACCTTCCACAACTACTACTAGAACCAAATTGAAATGAAATGAAGAACTGAAATATCTTGCAAGATTGACAGCATTGTAAGATATCATTAAAGAACAAGAAAATCAGGTTATACAGTCAAAGAACCTAGATGAAGCATCTGCGGTGGTTGGTTAGGTGAAACAAAGAGTCATGCGATAAGAAAAGAAAGACTTTTGAATCATAAATTCAACTTCATTTAGCACCAGTCAACTTGTCATAATTAGCTATAATTGCTGGGATTTGGCTTTTATGAATGCTTCTTCACTGATCCTTTATGCTACTTCCATCTCGGGTTGGACATGCTCTAGTTCTGGCAGTAACAGTATAACTATGCCATAACCACCCTTCCACCCATCAAATCCAATTCCATCATCGAGGATTAATACTTTCTGGTTTTGCCTGAATTAAATCCCAGCATCAGTATTGGATCCAACGGCAGGAAAGTGATAATTGCATGGCCATTACTGTAGAGGATCTGAGCCCATGCATTTCCTATATTCCAGCGGTTGCCTTTTTAGTTCTTCAGTAAGTTACATGCTATATCCTTCTAAATACTATAATCCTACCCTATTTCCTATATATACCCAAACATTTACTAAGGGTTAATTCGGACATTTGGCTGACAAAACTGTGTTGTGTAAACGAATAAGCAGACAGCAAAAAAATTTCTTAACCACCCAAAAAAAGAGGTTTATGCAAAAGGAATTACGGTTAAGTTTTTATTCTAAACAGTTAACAGCAACCATTAAAAAAGCGGAAGATGAGTCCGCATTGAGTCGCGCCTCAAGTCGAGGCGGAAGTCATGCGTATCAGGGCTTACGCCTCGAACCATCCAGCGAAGCCTACGATTTTTTCGCACAAGGCGTACGCATTAGAGCGTAACGCCTCGAGGCAGTATGAGGCACCGCCTCGAAATTTTTTCTTCGGTATATATATAAATACGACGCAGCCGATTCGTGTTTGTGTATTCGCGTATAGGATTAGGGCTTCCTGTGAGAATTGAAAGGCGAACTAAAGGCGAAGCCGTGAGGGAAAGAGACGAAGCCGTGAGTGCAGGAGACGAAGTCAGAAGGACACGACGCAGGAAACGAATCCAAAAGCAATAACGGTTTCGAAAGCAGGAAATGAAGCCGAAGTTGTGAGTGCAGGAAACGTTCAGGCCTCGGTTAGGTCGGAAGAGCAGGTGAGTGGTGTTGTGGCCTTAACTTTGAGGTGTAGTAAAGAAAGCTTGAATAACTCCTGATTCGGCTTTCTTTCATTCGTCCGCTCAGTACATGCTCGGTACCGCTAAGTACATGCTCGGTACTAAGCCAGCACCGCTCGGTACCGAGCGGTACATGCTCGGTACCACTAGATACACGCTCGGTACCGAGCAGTATATGCTCAGTACTGAGCGGTACATGCTCGGTACCAAGCAGTATATGCTCGGTACCGAGCTGTACATGCTCGGTACTAAGCGGTACATGCTCGGTACTGAGCATATACAACAAGCATAATTTCAAAATTACTCTTATAATAAAATTTTGTTCCGCAGCGCCCCCGGAAACTCCCGCAAGGGCGCTGCCCCCGGAAAC